GGATATTTTGAGCTGTACTTTGGTTTACGTGATACTGAGTAAGTCACTATTCTTTTAAAGATTTAAACCAGAATATAATGTCTTATGACTTCTTCAAATCTTAAAATTAGGTGTATCCATCTAGAGTGTCGTTTAACGGGTGACCTTGCAGTCGAGTTCTATGACTTATGGAAGCAACGTTCGCGTAACACAGTGATATGTATTATCAAGTTTGTGAAATTAGAGCTATCACAGGAACATAGGTGGAGATGTACCAATGTTACCGGAAGTACGACGATTATGTTGAATCCGGATCTCAGTATTACCGACGAGATGCTTTGTTGGTAAGTATTTTTTTTTTCCGTTTACAATCAAAACTCTAAAGTTGGCGACTGGACATTCACTGTTTATGGTGTTCTTAATCGGATGTCAGGAATCCTGAAAATGACCAAGTACCGATCATCACACGGAAGGAGAATGCCATGGAGTGATGATGTTCGTTGATTTCTTATTTTGTTGGTGAATGATTTTAAAAGATGATTTATTATTATTTTTTAGCATTTATAATATTATTGAATTTTTTAAATTTCATCATTTTTCATAATTTTATCACACTAAATCCTAAACAATTTACCATATTTTTCTTACACTCCCAAGTAACACCTAAACAATCCCTTATTTCACATGATTTTACCATTTATACAGCATTCTTCCCGCGCATGCGCACGGGCAATCACCTAGTTTACTAGAATCCGAGTTTTATTTTAACTTGGATGTACAAAGAGTAGAGAAAAATATTTGGCTTCAAATCAAATGATGATGTAACCAATTCCTCATGAGAGCAAACGCCTCCTCCGCGTCTCTATCATCTTCCGGCGTCTCCGGCCGGTGAACAAAACCGTGACCTCTTCCTTCATAGACAACAACCTTCGTCCTTTCACCAATCTTCTCCTCAATTTCATACAAACCCTTCACTTCACAAAGCGGGTCTCTGTCTCCAGCAATAAACAAGACTGGCACTTTCACATCTCTTGCCACTGCCGAGTCTATTCGCGTACCATAGAACGAGACACCGGTACTGAAGTAACCGTTCTCATCCGTGGCTAACACGTCAACCACACGTCCACCACCGAAACAGAACCCCATCACTCCTAGCTTCTTGGAGATTCCAGCCGCCGCAAATTCCTCGACCATCCATTTTGTGAAGCTAGTTGTGTCTTGTCTGATACGGTTCGGGTCGTGTCCTCTTCTCCATTCCTCGTATTCGGACTTTGGTCGGTTTTTCGACCATGGATCTCCACGGAACAGGTCTGGGACAAGAACACTATCTCAACAAAAAGACACACGAAATTCCAATTTAAATAATAAATTTTTGGAATTTGAGAAAGATAAGTAAACAGAGAAAATTGATTACTTGTAGCCATTGCAAGCGACACGGTAAGCGAAATCGCGTGTGGCTGAATCTTGGAATCCAAAGACATCAGAGAGAAGAAGCAATCCAGTTCCGTTATTGTTCTTTACCGCCGTTAAAAGATAACCTTCTACACCATCAACAGACACTTCTGTTCCGTTAACAAGCTCACACGCTTCTTCTTCCTCATCATCATCGTCAACCTCCACGTTAACGGTGCCGTCAGAGGTCTCGAGGGCAGAAATGTTCTTCAGAGACTTTTGTCTCTGCAAGAAGCTCGTCGTGATATGTTTCTTGATCTGAAAAAACACGGTCTTGTAAATTCAAAAACTCTTCAACATTTATCTTAAAGAATCAATGCTTAAGCGTTTAAGAGGTTAAAAATTCTGACTGAAATGGTAAAGACGAGATAATTAGTAAGATGCAGAGTAGATTGCGTACAGAGGAAGCAAGAGGAGTGATTCGCGGAGGAGGAAGGCGGTGACTACCATGGTGGTTGAATAGTGACCGTGGTGCTCCGGCTTTAGCTAAGGAGGAAAGAGAGGCTAACGACGCAGCCATTGTATGTATCTTTCTAGAATCAATATGGTCCAGAAGTTTTTCTTTATATTGTTTTGGATATTTGTTAATAAAATATCCAATGTAACAGTTAAGTGGAAGAAATTGGTAAAACCGATAACAAAAAACAAAACAAAAAAAAAAGTGGAAGAAATGGAATCATAATAATATACTTTTAGGGTTTATTAATCTATTAATAATCTGAACAAATGTTTTTGAGGCTGCGTGATTTTTCGTAAAATAGATGTTTTAGCTTTTAGCTATTAAAATAGTTTTGATACATTTTTATTTAGAGTTATGTATTTTTACCATGATTTTTACTTTGTTTTTATTTATTCATCACAATTTTATATTTAGAGAGTTGTATAACAATATCAGTAATATTTGTTTAAGGTGGGATATTATAAAGTAAATATTTTTAGGTGAAATCAATTTACTTTTACTACTTTATTTACATTAAATAAATAAATAAGATTAAAGTTTTTTTTTATTTGTAAAGATTTTCTTTCTTTCCCACAGAGTTATTATTCTTGTAATTGAAGTTCTTTTAGAAAGAAAGAAACAACGTCGTTTTGATTAAACAGAAGCTGCTAACGGAAGTTTTATCCCCGTAAACATGCTTTGTCTCTCGATTTAACGTTGTGTCTCAAATGATATAATCAATATAAGTCTACCATTTAATCATTAAATGAAATCAACGAAAACTTAGGCAATGTAAACGATAATTTTATTATCGAGGATTTAAATTGTACATAATTTGAAAGTTGGGGCTTTTTAGGTATTTTCCCATTTAAATACTTAAAAACCATGAATTTTTTACTTTAGTTCAAAAAATTGAATTATAGCAGTTGAAAAAAGTTAGGAAAACATTTAGGACTTTTTTTACGTGGAAAATTTTGATTGGTAGAAAATAGACTCTAATTTTTTTCTTCTTCTAATAAGTCTTAAAAATTAGACTTTAATCTTCTAATGTACGGTCTACATTTACTCAATCTTACATGTATTCAGTCCATTTTTAAGTTATTTAATTTAGTGCATGGTGACTACATTTACTCAATTTTTTTTTGTTAAGTATTTAATTAACCCAAATTTATACAATCTTATCTTACCGGCACTTTCCTCTTCTCATGGATCCCTGTAAATCCTACGAATTCGTTAAAGTAGCCAATAAACTGTATATTCTACATCAGCACAAAAAAATATCACTCAAAATTAATGGCAAATTCTTTTCATCCTATACTATTATTTGGGGAGTACACTTTATAAGATACCCTTAACTAACCTTCCTTTTTGTAGGAATTTACTTAAGAATGCCATTACAAAAATCTTCTTTTAGAACAAATTTCATTCAATTTATTAAGGATAAACAAGTAAAATACTAATTCATGTCATTTAATTAATTTAATTAAATTATAAAACGAAAATCTGTTATTTTTTTTTTAAATGACCAATCAAAATGAACATATAAGATTTGATATCTAACTTACCATATTAATTTGTTATTAATCATTAAACTTCACCTCTCAACTTTATATGATTAAATTATCATATTATCTACATAATAAATAAAAATGTAAATTTTTTTCTGCATATGCCAAGATTTGAATTTTTAAAAACGCATATAAATTGTTCAATCTATAAAGGAAACAATTAAACGGGTCAAAAATTAAGACTTGAGTAATATATTTTTTTCACACAAAAATAAAGTCAACAAAAATTCCGACTGAGCAACAGGTCAGAATTTGAATATTTATATTCGATTTCATACATTTATTTTTTTGAAATGTATAATTTTATATACTACAATAAAAATTTAAATATTTTAATTTGCAACATTTAAAATAAGTTTTACCTGATATTTTTAGAGAATAAATTTCAAAAAGTTAATAATAAATTTCAAAAAATCATCAATACTTAATAGTTCAAAAAGTTAAAAATTATAAATACTCTAATTTGATTATTTTGAAAAATATTTATAATAGGTAGCGGGTTAAATATAATATATTATATGATTAAATGAGTTTTGATCCTTATAACTATTTGAATAGTTATATTTAATTTCATATAATTTGTTTTTTGAAATTCATAATTTTATAAACTACAAAAAAAATTAAAGATTTTAATTTGGAATATTAAAAATAGTGTAGAACATTTAAATATGGTTTGACACCTCTAAATATTTGAAAATTTGATTCCGAAATCAATTTTAGAATTAACGAATAAGAGATTGTGCACGCAATATTTTAAAATGAAATATTGAGATTCTAAAATAAAAATATAGACTCCACGCACGGGTTGATTTTGGTATGATTATATACTAAATATATGTTTATAACATATTCGATTATGCGAATAATTGGTAAATTCCATAATTATAAATCTCAAACAAATTCTGTAATTAGATTAGCTCAAACAAATCTCTATTTCAACAACCAAAGAATTATGAATTGAAAAAGAATTTTCTAAATTAATTCAAAATAATACCTAATTTTCTTAATTAATTCAAAATAATCTATGTTTTATACGCGATTTATTTATGATATTTTAATTTTTGATCTAACTGAAATATATGCAATCCTATTTTGTGTTTGTTAACATATATTAACTCATTGTTCAAAAAATATTATTTTTAAAAAATAAAATTATTTTCCGTTTTCATATCTTAAAAAAAAATTATCCATAATTGAGTATTATAGAAAAAAATCTATATTTATTATAATATTGTATATAGGGACTGACAACAAAATTAATATTTTTTCACTTACTATTATAATATATTAAAACTTAGTTCTAATATATATATTATATAAATTTTATAATAAATAAAATTCAACCCGTACTAAAGTACGGGTGATGATCTAGTTTGAATAAATTGATGGTGACAAAGGAATCCATACCATAGATGCGAGACTTGCCTCAATGCACATATGGTGTAACTTACATGCCAAGAAACACATTCTCGTTGCCCATGATCTGATATGGTCTAGAGTTTCTTAAGAGAGTTTAATGTTTGACAAAAAGAAAAAGAAAAAGAAAAAAAAAAGCGAGAGAGTTTAATCTCACTCATAACTTTTGTCTTACATTTATTTGAATAGACCAATGGATCGTTATTGTTTCATAAATATAAGCAGAATAACAATACAATAAAAAGATCATCCAATCTAAGAAACACTAAGTCATATGAGTAAAGAAGCAAGACGACGACAGCAAACTTCGTTCTCGATAGGCCTAAACAGCTCAAGAAGTATAGGCTTATTAGGGTTTATCACTTCCGGTGTTGCTTCAAAGAGAGACTTCCACAAGTGAACAATGTTAGACTTTATCTCTTCCCTCACAAACCCATTGGCCTCTGAAAATTCCTTGGCAGACCTCAACTTCTCTTCTAGCTTCTTAAGCTCTTGGATGTAGTATTCAAAACTATACGATTCCACTACACCACCATTTTTGAGACCCCAAATAATGTGATTCAAGACACGTACTCCAAAATTAAAATGCTGTGGACAAGTTTTGATTAGCTCAACGTGGATCGATAAGCCATCATCATAATAGACTCCATTCTTGGGTTTGATATATCTTTCAAACACATATTGAATAACATGAACCAGTCTTCCTACCACGGGACCGTCATAGTCTCTCTTCCCTGCAATATTCAATAGGCAAAGACAGAAGTGTAACGTAGAACGTAGGTCATCAGATAATATGAACATTGCTTCAGCCACAAAGAGCGAGAGCTCAACTCCGAGTCGTATAGTCTCTTCTTTCTGCTTCTCCTTCTCCTTGTTGAGATCAGTTCTACAAAAAAAAATAGTTAACTAGTATATTCACTAAGAAAACTAATCAAACTCTCTCAGGAAATAATGAAAGATCACTGACCTTAAAGCGTAAGGAGAATATCTAGACTGTGGTAATCTTTTGTTGTTACGGACAACACGAACATGGTCAGTCATAGATATTGATTCCATTTGTTTCGAGATGATTGAGATGTTTGAAGAATTCGTCAAGGAGGATGGATCCAGATGCAATTTTTGTTGGTTTTCAAATGCATATGCAATTAAAATAGAAGAAAACAATTCATAGTCAACAAAGGCAAGTTATTGACATATAAAGATACAATTTTCAGACTCAAAAATAAATCAGATGCAAAATATCCCAACGCACTTGGTTCTTAGGTTCCAATTCGAAACCCTAGATCGTAACTTTAATCGATATCTAAATTTCCTAACGTATTTGTTTCTATGGATTTGAAACCTCTTGACCAGTCGATATCAAATCCAAATTCCTTGAAAACAATTTATGGAAAAAAACCATGACTCACCTCATCGTTGTAGTGTATAGATCTAAAAACGTACCCCAAGATTCCTTACCAATTCTAAGCCAACTATTGTTTCTCTCTAAAATGAAGTACAATAAGGTTTAGAAGATCCGGGGTTTTGAGGCTATATAAGGAGCCTAAGGGTTGACAAATGACAAATAATTAACAAAGTGTTTTGTCAACGAGATTATGGCTAGCCAATAAATATTTATCTACTATACATTTTTGCAACACTTTTTGGGGTTCCTAATTGGGTCGGGTTTTTTTTTAATTTTTTGACCCGGAAATCATTTAATTTTGACCCGCAAATTTGTCTCCCGGATCTTACCTTATTCTGATTTTGACCCGAATTTTCTCAATCGGAACCTTCCTTAATTGATACTCCCTACATTCAAGGCAAAAATCATTTAGTTTCTCATAATTGATACTCCTACAATCAAGGTAAAAATTTTTGTGATAATGAGAGTAATAATGACGATTAAATGCTAAGTAATATTTGATAATCAATTTGTTTCCTATTAAAATGCTAAACATTTTGTTGCAAATCACATTTGTTTCCTAAATAAAATGCACAATATCAAATCTACATTCAATTACTACAAGTAAATTGGAAATGATTCATAACGAAATGATTTTGTTCTGATTTGATATAGCATCTATATAGTATATTCTAAAAGACTAAAAGCTTGACGATTTTAAGAAACTAATTTTTTTTTTATTAAATTTCATAATTCTGATATTTTTTTAGATTCTCTACTTGCTCACCGAGATTTACTCTACTAACTCATCTCCATCTCTATCGACTTCTAAACCACTATAAATAATCCCATCGTCTGCATCTTCTAACATCCAAAAGCAACTATTTCATATAACCAGCAAACAAACATTTATCATTCCAATGGCTGCTTCTTTTGCTTATTTAGATTTACGTCCGTACAAAACTGTGTGGCTGATAAATGTGAAAATCCTACACTCGTGGCGCTAATACACCATGAGTACTAGCGTGCACCTTGAGTTGGTGTTGCCCGATGAACATGTGATACTTGCTGGTACTTATAAACATTATCGTTTTTTTTTAATTTCATCTCTAAATATTTTTTCTTTAAATAAGAAATGAAACCTATAACTTAAATCATTCTATTTTTTACTTATAGATGTGCTTGCATGAGTAATTAGCATTGAAGAGCTGGAGATGCTGGAAGCTAACAACCAGTGTTCTAAAAAGCGGTCTAGGCGGTCGCCTAGGCCCCGACTAGGCGCTAGGCTCTTATGCGACGCCTAGATAACCGCTTTGACCGCCTAAAATTACACAGATCTTGTTTAATGTATTATTTCAATTTTAATTAGAGTTTTATTTATATATATAGTTATAAATATTCATATATTATTTAATATAAATATAAATAAATGTTTTATCTAATTTTTGTTTATAATTTCATAATTTTTTGTTTTATATAGATATTTTATATAACTTTTATATATAATATCATATTTATAATATTTTATATTATAAACGTCTAAACCGCCTAAAAAATCGCCTAGGCCCGATTAGGCGTTCTAGGCGCTAGGCATTGGGTCACCGCCCGCTTAGCGCCTAGCGTTTTCTTGAACACTGCTAACAACAAACAGCCAAATAAGCTTTGAAATATAGACTGTAACCGAAGGTGGTCTTACTCTTACATTCTGTTAGAATATCTTTTGTATTATTCAAGCACTGTTATTCAAGTTTTTGGCTTTCAAAGTTTATTTTTTGGATTGACACTTTGATAGTATTATTTCATAGTATCTAGATAAGTATTTATTAATGACTATACAATGCAAAGATTTCAATGTGTCTAAGTCAATAAGCAGTATCATGTTTTAGTAATCTTATCACATAGATTAAGTTTTCATGAAGTTCCTTACTACTACTAAATGATGAACAACCACACGTGCCATATTTACTAAACTAAAAACAGAATTGAGAGTACCTACATTCAAGACATATTTTTATAACCAATTTAAAAGAAATATCTCTTACTAACCTTTCTCCACATCTTGCGACTCAACAGATGCCTCTTGCCTTATGAACCCCAACGATTAAGAGTTTGAAATCTGACTCACCTATGAAACAAAACACATGTTAGATAAGAATCTTACAAAAAGGAAATCATATATGTTTGAAATAAGTAACTGATTTCTTATCTTTGTGTCGCTAGCATGACTTGAGGTTATTACATTGCAAAAGTACATCCCTTCATTCGGAAAACCTTAACTGTTTTGTTCTTTTAGAGACAATCCTACATGAAATAAGAAGTTGATAAAAAAAAAGTTATATTGTTGAAGTTTTACATAATCCGATCACATAAGTTACTGTTTAAATTTTCGTTCAAGTCTCAGCTTCAAAGCATTTTTTTCTCTAATCTTAAAACAAGATTATTTCATAAATTAAGGAACTATGAATTCCACAACTCATCAGGACCAAAAATTCAAAAAAATCATTTCATCACAATTGCATATATGAACAAATACTAATCTACCACAAATGGATCTGCAATTCATATTGATCGACGATTAAATAATTAAGTAACTCATACACTATTAACAAACACAACTTCCAGACTATCATCCAAAAGACAAGAAGTCATTGCTTTTCTACACTAAACAAGACTTCAAACTCTAGAAGGTTAAATTGGAACTTCCTAAATCAGTTATTATTGTTCGAGATACTGAAATTCAAGGACCAAGACGATAATAAATCAAGATTGATGAGAAGGATGAAGAGAGCGTTCGATGATCTAGACTTAACGCAATCACCACTACCTCCATCGAAACAGATCGATATCGGTGGACGCAATTATAAAGAAGCTGATCTCTTGATTCGACATTGTATTCCATATCTTCCGGGGAAAAATCCAACGCATGCCTCTGTTATGCTTCAACAGTGGTTCTCCTCTTAATCGCATGCCTCTGTTTTGTTTCAATTATCGTTTGTTGCATCATCAGTCAGTGAGAGACAGCTCACAAATTGGGCTTCACTTTTAGTTTTCCCCATTAGCCCATGTTGGGCTGTTTTATTTGTTTCAAATCAGTTAGCCTATATTGGTTCTCTTTTGTGTGATGGGCTATTTAGTCACAACTAGGCCTTAATACATTTTGGGAGACTCACAAAAATACCCCTTTTTTAATACCCCTTTTCAAAAATGCCCCATTTGGCTGTCCATTTTTAAAAATACCCCTTTTTATGTACAAAATGACTAAATTACCCTTCTTTTAATAAAATATATCACAAATATATAAGAAAATATAACAAAATTAGGTCCACAAAATACAAAATATTTATTGGCGGGAAAAGTGATCCCGCAATTTTTCCTGCCAAAACACTTGTAAAAACTTGTAAAACCTTTAAAATACCTTGTAAAATTTTCCCGTAAAACTTTTTCCCGCCAAAAAATTTTCCCGCCAAAAATTAATTATTGCGGGAAAAGTGATTCCGCAATTTTTTTGGCTTAAAATTTTTGGCGGGAAAATTTTTACCGCCAAAAATTTACAAGGTATTTTAAAGGTTTTTTACAAGAAGGTTCTACAATGTATTTTAAAAGGTTTACAACGTATCTAGGAGGTGAAGGAGCAAGATTGAGAGAGCCCTTCTAGATCTCCAACAAAAAAGCTCGAAAATACTACAAGTTAGTGCAAAGGGAAACCCCGCAAGTACAGAGGATATGACCACAAAAGACGCACCTCCTTCTTAAGATAGCACTTGTGACACCTTAGCACAACAACTTGTAATACTTCTGTAAAACCTTTAAATATAGCCTTGAAATTTTTCCCGCCAAAAATTTTCCCGCCAAAAAAATTTCGCAAAAAAAATTGCGGAATCACTTTTCCCGCAAAAAAATTTTTTTGGCGGGAAAATTTTTTGGCGGGAAAAATTTTTACGGGAAAATTGCGGGATCACTTTTCCCGCCAAAAAATATTTTGTATTTTGTGGACCTAATTTTGTTTCAAATAAGGGTAAAATGGTCATTAAAAATTAAAAGAGGGCAAACTTAAAAATGGACTCTCAAAGGGGGCATTTTTGAAAAGGGATATTGAAAAAGGGGCATTTTTAACAATTTCTCAAATCTTAATTACATGAATCATTAAGGATAAATTAGTGTTTTTCAAATTAATTTCAAAAACTTTATAATTAAGAAATATTAGTATCCATATATTATAAGATCTATATATAAGAAATAAAAAAAAATTAAAATATTACGAGACGGGTAATATGATGAGTCGGGCTAGGATCAATATTTATATATTAACTCTATGAGAGCTTAACCATCATAAATATTTAAATTTTATAAAACGTTTAAAGTATTTATAATAATTAAATTCTATAATATTAATAATATTTAAACTCTATAAAAACTAAAAATATAAATATTATAGGAATTTCAAATTGAATCGAATTATGTCTTTTAAATAAAGTATTATTAAAAAGAAAAATAACAAAATGATGTTTAATTTCACGGGACGGGCTTATATGGTGGAACAAGTTTAGGTCGATATTAATACGGAATGATATAACATTGGTGAAATCATAGAATTAACAATCAAAATACAATTATACAATCTTAAACAATAAACAAAAAAAACAATATTTACAAACCAACTACAATTTAAAATTTAAACTTTTTAGTTACAAAAATATCTACTCGCGGTGTACCACGGGGTAAAATATAGCTTTATTGCAAACCAAATACAATCTACCATATGATTACAAACAAAATTTTTTTTTAACCAAATATATACAACACAAATAATCAAGTTATAAAAAACATAAACAAAAATTTATTAATCCTGCGGTGTACCGCGGGTCATATCCTAGTACTAGTTTTAATTAAAAATGGTGACTAAGGCATCCATAGATGCAAGAGTTTATTTCAAAATGTTTATGCTAAATCTGGCAACATACAAGAATGTTAAGAGTTAAGAACCCAATTCCAGAATAAAAAACTTTATCAAGATGATAGAAAACAAAAATGGAGCAAAATTCCCAAAGAGGATTAGTGAGAAAATTGCTTTTCTTCCCTCGGATTAACCAATAAACCCTATAACCCTCCAAACTCTCAAAAAAGATCTTCAAGCCTATTTATATATATATTTAAATGACCCAAAACCAAGAAGGTTAAATTCTCATTAGACTAGTACTATGACTTTTGTAGACAAGATCAGACCTTGTAATTGGGTGGGAAGTAACCTCAATGATGCTTCTTAAGTAGATTCTTCATGCCACTTGATACTACTACCTTCCTGTACTCGTAACTTTTGTCTTACATTTATTGAGAGAATCAAATGAATCGTAATGGTTTCATAAATATAAGCCGAATAACATTCTGAAATCAAAATAATATCATCCAATCTAAGAAACTCTTATTCATATGAGTAAAGAATCAAGAAGACGACAGCAAGTATTCTGGTTTGCTTCATTCGAGAGAGGCCTAAAAAGCTCAATAACTCTAGTCTTAGCTATTTACGTTTATTTCATAAAAGCAAAACACCAATAAACATTAACTATCAAAAAACATAGATGACGTAAAGAAGCAATAAGATGACGAGAGCAAACATCCTGACGTGCTTGGTTCACGAGAGGCCTAAACATATCATTAATTCTAACCTCAGGGTAGATCAAGGGTAGTGTTACAAATAGAGACTTCCACAAATGAAGAATGTTAGACTTCATAGCTTCTCTCACAAATCCATTCGCCTCTAAAACATCTTTGGAAGACCTCAACTTCTCCTCTAGCTTTTTCAGCTCTTGGTTGTAGTGTTCAAAATAAATCGGTGGCATAGAGCCGCCATTTTCGAGAGCCAAAACAATGTGCTCCAAACTCCTGACCCCATAAGCAAAATGCTGGGTAGACGATTTGATCAGCTCCAATTGAGTGGATTTGCCACCAGCCTGGTAGACTCCATTCTTTGGTTTGATATATGTTTCAAACACATATAGCATAACAAAAATCAGTATTTTCACCACTTGTGTTGGATTCTTCCTTTCTTTGTTCCCTGAATACTTCAAAATTATCTTAACACAGAAGAGTAACATAGAATATATGTCATCAGATAGTAGGAACATTGCTTCAGCCACAAAGAGCGAGAGGTCAACTCCGAGACGCTCAGCATCATCTTTCTGCTTCTCATTGGTAAGATCAGTGTCTTTAGGGTGAGGAATAGTATCCATCACTGACCCTAAAATGTAAGGAGAATATCTAGACTGTGGTAATCTCTTGTTGTTACGGACAACACGGTCAGTCATTGACATCGATTCCATTTTTTTTGAGATGGTCGAGATGTCTGAAGAATTCATCGAGGAGGGCTCTAGATGCAGTTTTTTTTTTTTTTTTTGGGGATTTCAAATCCATAAATTAAAATATAAGGAAACAAATAAGATAACATATATCACAAAGCGTTTGGTTATCAATCAGGCAAGTGAGAGAAGACGAACCCTAGATTAATAGAAATAAAACAAACGATGCACTTACCTTGTTGTAATGTTCTCTTAAAACCTAATCTTCAACGAATAATAATATAGGAAAAAGGCTTTAATGCTTTATGGATTAACAAGGATATAGAGGAAAATACAAGGAAATATTATATGGAAATTTGGTAGAAGTGTAGTTTTTATGTTTTAAATTAAATTAAAGATTTTTTTAATCCTTGGCCAACTCTTTACATATTTCTCTCTCACGTCAGCACACTAGAGAGCTTTTAAGTGTCCATGAATGAAAATGAATATCATAAATGAAAGTCATGGAATCCAAGAATCTCTGATTCATATGTGTAAAGAAGCAATAAGACGAGAGCAAATATTCTCCCGTGATTGGTTCAACAGAGGCCTGAAAAAAAAATAAAAAAATAAAAAAATAAACAGAGGCCTGAACATCTCAAGCATTCTAACCTTAGGGTGTATCAACTTGGATGGTGTTTCAAAGAGAGACTCCCACATATGAAGAATGTTAGACTTTATCTCATCCCTCACAAATCCATTCGCCTCTGAAACATCTTTGGCAGACCTCAACGCCTCATCTAGCTTCTTCAGCTCTTGGTTGTAGAGTTTAAAATCAGTCAAAAATATTACTCAAAATTAAATGGCGTTTTGTCACTTGATTCTACCACCTTTAACTCATAACTTTTGTCATAAATTTATTTAGATAAAAATAAAATCATCCAATCGATAAAAGAAATTCTGATTCATATAAGTAAAGAAGCAAGACGACGACATCAAACTTCTTTCTCGATAGGCCTAAACAGCTCAAGAACTATAGTCCTATTAGGGTTTATCACTTCCGATGTTTCTTCAAAGAGAGACTTCCACAAGTGAAAAATATTAGACTTGATCTCTTCCCTTACAAACCCACATTCGTCTCTGAAAACTCTTTGGCAGACCTCAACTTCTCTTCTAGCTTCTTAAGCTCTTGGTTGTAGTTGATGTGTTGCATTTTTAACGGTATCGAGTCTTGATTTAGTCTGCGTTTTGAGTCATTTGTCGTGTCGTAGTCCGTCTTTTGCGTCTTTTCGGTTGCGTCTTGAGTCTTTTGCAGGTTTTAGGTGTTTGAGCGGGACGCGGATGTTTTCGGGCATTATCGGGCTCATTTGGACCAGAAACACTCGCGGGAATTGAAAACTAGAGTAAGCAGCATGTGATCGATCGATCCCAGGTGGGGATCGATCGATCTGGTTTCACACGTCAAGCAACATGATTCCAGTAGCATGGGATTGATCGATCCCCTCATGGGATCGATCGATCTAGCCTTCACACGTCGAGATGTTGAGCATTCCAGGAGCTGAGGATTGATCGATCCACCCATTGGATCGATCGATCCACCCTCATGACGATCTGAGCCGATTTTCCTTAACCGGATTTGTCTTCTTATTTCTGTACTTAGGTATAAAAACCCTGAAAACCTATTTTTTTATTCACGTTCTTTTTCTGAAACTTTTGAGACTTCTGTCTTGTAAGCAACCTTGGGGATTCTAGAGATTCATCCTCTTTGACACTTTGGAGAAGATTTCTAAACCCTTATTCTTTATTTATCAATTCAATTATGCTTTCTTTTCAATCTATTTGTCTTGTTTCTATTGCTATGTGTGAGTAGTTCTCCAATTGGGTTTTAGGGTTCTAAGTAGGAGATTTAATGGATTGATGGATTGATTGCTATTAGGAGTTCTTATTCTTTAGGTTCTTTGATTCACATGTTGTTAATGCTAGAATAGGATTGATCACCCTGTTGTAGATTCTAGGTTTTTCTATGCATCAAAAGTGTTCGATAGAATGCCTAAACCAATGTGAATTGAGCAATGTATGCTTAACCAATGAAAGTTGACGTTAGGACCATTATGAACTTAATGAACTTGTTTGGTAATGCGAATTTGACTACGAAATTACAAGCGAAAGTTTAGTAGTCGAGTAGTCAAATTTAGTGATTAATGTCTTGAAAGAGAATTAGTCTAAATGTGTTCATGTTCAAGAACGGTATTTAATTGTTGAATTCTTTGTCTCATGTTTCCATTATTTATTGATCTCTAAAATACCCTATGGTCCAATGTCTTAAATTCATAAGTTTAATCGTTTAAATTACTTGCATTTTTATTTTAAAATCTGAAAACCAAACAAACAACCTTTTCGCTTTAGGTAAGAACGAGTCTCGGAAATCTTTAGTGTACCATTGGTTCTTGTGGATCGACCCCGTATATACTGTCTTGCGGTTAAATGTATCCGGTAATTACTCAGAGCAATCAAGTTGGCGCCGTTGCCGGGGATTTCAAAAATATACGATTTCACTACACCGCCATTTTTGAGACTAGAAACAATGTGATTCAAAACTCGTACTCCCAAATTAAAATGCTGTGGACAAGTTTTGATCAGCTCAACGTGGATCGACAAGCCATCATCATGATACACTCTATTCTTGGGTTTGATATGTTACAAACACATATTGAATAACATGAACCAGTCTTCCTACCACGGGACCGTCATTGTAATAACCCGGTCGTTGACTAGAAATTTGACCGCGGTTCGTAAAATTTTGTCGGATTAATTTTGGCATTATTTTTGTTGAATATAACTCGGGAGGTTATATAAATATTTTTGATCGGAGAAAAAGTTGTTTACGGTCAAAATATCAAGTTTTGGACCAAGCGGGTCGATTATTTCGATTCCGAGTTTGCGGTTTTGTACCGTTAGCACGTTGGTGCGAACGGAGAATTTTTGGTGGTTGCGGGTGAACCACATTGCGGAAATCTAGCCATAAAATCATGTTTGGATTATGGAAAGCATATCTCGGATTTTATGGAAAAGTGAAGATTTTGTTGTTGGGAGTTTGGGGAGCAAATCCCACATTTTATGGAAAGGAAAGATTTGATGTGATTTGGATGTGATTTGAGAGATTGTGATGTGACCTCAAGATTTGGTAAATCTTTCTAGATTTCGTAAATCTAGATTAGATTTGGTGTATCCTTAGATTCGGTGTATCTTCCGTAAAACGGACCAGATTCGACGGATCAACACCATAATGCGTATGGCGATGTGTCAAGCATGCGAGCACATGATCCCCGTGTGTCGGCCATGCGAGCGCATGATCGCCGTGTGTTGGCCATGCGGATGCATGTTTGCCGTTTGTCGGAACGAGTACATGGTCGCTAAGTGTCGTCCATGCGGGCGCATGTTCGCCGTATGTCGCGACGTCTCTGCCAAGTATCGTCGGACGTTCGCCACTTGTTCCGCATGCGTGAGAGGTCCTCACCTATAAATAGAGGTAGTGGCTCTTCATTTTTGGGAGAAGGAGAAGTTCCCGAAGGTGAAGAAGCTCTGCCGGAAGCCGTTTGCCGTTGTTATACCGTTGCCGAGAAGAATTGCCGAGAGATCTGATTAGCCATCAAGATCTGTGAGTTCCGAAGCGTGTGAAGTGGCACACGAACTTTCTCTTCTTGATTGTTTCCATGCTTGTTTGTTGTTATTTTTGTGTTTTGGCTCCCGTTGTTTGTGTGGTTGTTGTTTAGAGTTTTGTGGTGTTCGAGTGCGCTTTCCTGTTTGTTTTGGGGGTTCGGAGAGACTGGGTCGCTCCCAAGGGCCAAACAGTTACCTGACGAGGTAACGGGGATTTCCCGTCATGGAAGGCCCATGTGGTACATCGTTTATAGACTTCGTGGCTGTAAACGGACTGTTCACTTGTTCGATGGGAAGGATCGTTCACATGGCCATAGGATTTGTTGTGTTGTAGTTATTTATTGTTGTTGCTTGCTTGTTTAGGATTGCATGTTAGATTGATTGTTTGCCATTGTTCCGTCAATAGTTTTGCTTGCTTGCTTGTTGATCTATTTTCTGTTGGGGACTTTGGGGTGTTTAATTTCCGAGATTAGGCGCCGAACTAACTGAGTAATTAGTACTCATGATGCCACTATTTTGTTGCAGGTAACCTTAGTGGGAAAAGCTTTAGAGGGGACATGGACGCTAGGAACCCGGTGTAGATTTTATTGTCTTTGTAAAGTTGGTTTTATAGTGTAGTTTATTTATCTTGAGCTTCACGCTTGGCGCCGTAAACTTTATTTGTATTTGAGATTTTATTAGTTAATAAAGATGAATTTTTCTTAAAGCCTTGTGTGCTTCTTGATATTAGGTTCTGTCCGAACTAACACAACTCACGATCGCGGTACGGGTTGCAAAGCCTTAGGCCGTGGTCGAGAGGACATACTCGCGGACGGACCGACTAGAGTAGCTGGATTTGTTCTAGCAGCCTCGGTTGGACTGTCTACGAGTATCAAACCGTGGCGATTCCGGACCGTCTGGATTTCTAGAACGGTTCAGGGTCGCTACAGTTTTAGGTGGTATCAGAGCATGGTTCATGATGCTCATGGGACACAAGTTTTCAAATGTTTTAACGAGTAAATATTGAGTCGCAAAGGCAATTAGGAAACCGGTTTGTCCATGTAGGGTAGGTAGATGGGATTAGGATTTACCCATTGTGTTGGTTGCAGATCCTGAAGTGAAGGAAGAGTGGAGGTCCGTTACCAAGCGTGGAGAAAGTAGAGAGACTTACCACAATATTTTTGGGTCTTTAAAATGTTCAAGGGACGAGCATGACCCAAAGTTTGTGTAAGTACTCGCTTGATTCTACTTGTGTAGCATTCTGTGGTGCATCCGTCCGGCTTGTCCAAGGATCGAGGATCCGCAGAAGCAGCGAGTGATTGTAAGTTGTGTGTGCCTTTAGATTTAGAGTCCCTAAACTTTCATGACCGAAAGGTTCCGTTCCAGGTAAGTATGGGTTTTAACTTCTCGTTTTGATTGAGTATTTTTGCGTGCTTTTGTTATTTACTGCTTGCTTGTTTGGTTAGTTAGTTGTGTAGTTAGTTATTGTCTGTTGGTTTGTGGTTAGTACATTGCATGTTGGTGGTAATCTCACGCATGTTTTGTTTGATTCGGGAGCCACGCATAGTTTTGTGAATCCGGAAGTAGTCTCTAGGTTTTAGGGAACTTTTGGTGATAGGAAAGTTAGTGTTTCTGTGTTAACCCCTGGAAACCAAACCCTTAAACCGAGGAGCTTAGCGGTTGATATACCGGTTGTAGTCGCGGAAAGTGTGTTCCCAGCTAATTTGTTTGTGATGCCTATGGAGAGGTATGAGGCGATTCTTGGCATGGATTGGCAATCCAAGTTTA